TTTGCTAAGTACCATGTTTCTACAGTTAGTATTATGGTGTCATAGCAGGTTATAATACATATCTTTCATAGGCTGACTCAACTGACTGGAATTCATTGCCATTACTTTCTTAATCGGTAAACAGTGCCTTGAAAAAGTATTCAGAACCTTCCAATGGTGTCCCATTTGGGGAACTTAAGAAATGATGCATACATCCTTTTAAAATGTTATACTATATTCAAAACCTGAATGCTCAGACTGAAAACTTTTAAGGCATTACAGTAAATGTGAGCAAAAACTCAAGTGTAAAAAACTGAAATTATACTGATTCTCTCAGTAATCAGACTTGTGAACTCAATATGTGGTATCTGGCAGCCATTACAGTTGCAAGTCACTTGGGTTGGTTTCTACCTGCTGAAAGGCGAAATTTCATCACAGATTTAGGTCTGAAGCAGGTTTTCCTCTGGGATTTGTCAATACTGTGCTCCATCTATGTTTTAATCAGTCGTAACAAGTTGTCCAGTCTCTGCTAATGAGAGGCAGAACTTTAACATAATTCTGTCATCGCCATTCTTGACTGTAGGGATGGAACTGAAGAGGGGAAGCACTATGTTGGGTTTGCATCAGATGTCATGCTTTGCATTCAGAGCGAAACATTCCAGTTCAGTTATCTCTGACCACAAAACCTTTTGCCATGCTTGCAGTATCTCTTTAGTACTTTGTTGAAAACCCCCATATGGGATCCGAGATATTTTTTAGCACCATGATTGTCTCCTTTGTCGAGTGGGATATCCATCCCACCCACAGAACTCTTTCGCAGTTGCCATTAGGCCTCATGGTGGCATCTCTGACCAGTATCCTTTTTGCTCCGGTGCTCAGTTTGGAGGGACAGCAATATTTAAGCAAAGTCTGAGTGTCTTCCACATCTTAAAGGTCACATTCACCTTTCTTAAAGAGATATCAGCGGCCATTTTCATAGCCTTCTCCTGATCTGTGTCTTTACACAACTTGACCCCTGAGTTGTTTTGAAAACACCTTAAAACCTTACAGAGAGAGTGCATTTATTCTGAAATCATGTGAACCACTACTACTAAACACTGACAGTGTTCAATCAACTGATTGTGGTGCTCTTTAAGGTAATTTCTTTAGGTTTGCCAGAGCAAATGTTTTCAATGCTTGTATTCCCTTTAATATTTATATTCCTCTTTTATATGATCTATTCTTTCTTCTTTCTGTTTTTGCTTTGCAGAGTAGGTTCTGAATACGTTATAAATATTGTTACTTCAAAGTGTCATGACTGCAAGCTGTGAAAACTGTGTAAGGGTCTGAATACTTTTGCAAGGCACTGTATAGGAAAGATGAAAAAGGGGTTTAGACTTTTATAGATCTGTGAGTCATAGTCTTTTTAAAAGTTACCCGAGTGAGAAAGAAACAAACAAACTCGGCAAAGACAAATGTAATTATTATTATACACGCGAAATAAAAGCTAATTTCCAACATTTTCGAAATCACTTCAGAAATATGCCTAAACCAACCGTCTAACTTATAAATGTGACTAACATTTACGTTTGCTGCTTGGATAAAAGTAACGCACAAACTTGGTTTTACAGTTAATAAACGCCTTTCCAACTCCTCTGTGTCACGAACATTTTTTCACGCATTCTCACAAATTAAAGCACCACGCTTATGACCACTTTAACATTCCCATGTGGAACGACGATGAAGAGGTCTCTCAAATTACACTAACACTTAATACCAAAGTGACAGGAATTTCACCTTTTTCCTCCCCAGATAATGTTATTTTATAAGGCTTTGAAATAACAGGTGTGTTGCCCTAAAAACTTCCCCCACACAAAAAGCTACGTAAACTCTAAGCGGGCGTCTATTAATAAAACTTCAGTGAACCAAGGGGCTGATGTAATCCCCCTGAAACTGAATCTACTTCTGCTAACAGCCTCACGATCGCAAGAGGTGCGGCAACCTTTTTTTTTCTCATAACGGTGACAATTCGTCACAAGTTCATGCTCTGACAACTCGCTGGCGGTGAGAGCGGGTATTAGTCTTGCAGCTGCCCGGTTAGTCCTTCTGCAAAGCGACTGACTGCAAAGTCGTGACGCTTATTTTCAGCCACTCCTCGTGAGAAGGTAAGATTACACCACTCTGTGAAACGGATGACTAAAAACCAATGAGACGTCCAGGTGCCGAGACTGCCACCACCTGTGGTGCTGTATATCAGTTAAGACACGAACAGCTAAGCTCGTTGTCGTGGCTCGAACCTGGCTCGTTTGGGGGGACACCCTTACACCTTCTCGAAAGTCACGAAAAGGTATCATGAAGCGGGGCTCTTAAGATTATTTATCTCAGTCGATGGCTGAGGGGGTAAAAGACGGGAAGGTGGCTGTCAGACCGAAAGTTCCCACTTCGCACACGCGGATTTGCAGGCTCGACTGCACATTTAATTACCTGCACAAGACCCCCCGTACACACACACACCTCCACTCAACTACCGAACCGTGCCCTCCCCCCCACTACTCATAAAAGTCCACAGAAGCAAGTCCCACTTCATTAGCACACGTCTCCCCGCGGAACATGGACTCTGCAGCAGGGGGACGGTGAGCAGGCAGGGAGGAAAGAGCCAGCGAGAGAGGGGAAGGAGAGGGAGCCAGAGAGAGAGAGAGGTGTGTGTGCGGCGAGA